AACTCTATGATTCTATGATTCTATGATTCTATGATTGTCTGTGGTGCAGGTTATACTTGGGGTGTTTTCGGGATACAAATTTGTGGAGTGGCTGAATGTTTTGTCTCTGCCTCTCTGTGTTTCTCCAAGCTTCACTAGTTTGCCTTCTGCAAAAGGATGATTTTGTCTTGCTTTGTGCAAGCAAATTGTGATTTGGCTTTGGGGGACTCAGACTCTTGCCTCTGTTTTTATTCAGTGTTTTGGCCACATTACTTTTCTTTCGTTTTCACCCATCAGCCCTCTCTGAAATAGGCATTGGAATAGGTGGCTGTGGGTTCAAACGTGGTTTGTTGTGAAGCTCAGGTAGGTTCCTTCTCTGTGTTGTACTTTGGTTTTTGGATAAGTTACTTTTCTTTTAACCTAAAACATGAATGATCCAATGTTATGGTCTGAGGACCATTTTCATTGGCCCAATATACAGATCCCTCCAGACCCACAAACTTTTCACCCTCACACTGACAACAACAACAACAACAACAACAACAACAACAACAACAACAACAACAACAACAACAATAATAATAATAATAATAATAATAATAATAATAATAATAATAACCAAAAGTATAAAACAGCATCCTCAGAAGCCTGGGGGCACAATTTCTCAGTTAAGAGTTATTTGGGGCTGCTCCAGGCTTTTTTTTTTCTGTTTTGGAAACAGAAGACAACCAGATGGTCATGTCTGGTCTCTATAAAAGTATATTGGGCCTGGAACAGACCTATCCTCCAGCTTTTAACTGGCAATTACATCTCTTAATTTCATACCTTCCAGTGTTTCACAGATGAAAACTGGGACACATATGGCCAAACTGCATCAGAGATAGCAAAAATTATTAATGAGGAAGAACACACAAGCTAGAAGAGGCTGCAGCAGTTTGCTTTTACCTGGACTCACTGGGAAGGGTAGGACTCCACCACTCTTCTCCTACCTATTATCTGAGTGCAAACGACTTAGGCATTTTGAAATCAAGAAGCTGAGGACAAAGGGGGGAAAGTGAGAAAAGGGGAGGAAAACTGGGACATTTTTAAAGCATCTTAAAAAGTGGGAGGCCATAGGATTAACTGGGACTATTCTGGCCAAACTGGGATGGTTGGAGGACATGTATGTTTTTCTAGGGACACCATTTGCTGGTTTTCATGTGAATTTTTCGGCAGCAGGAAGGGGAAATCGGAGAGTGTGTTGGGGGGATTATGTGGAGGTTGTGGGCCATTCTCCACCAACCGGAGCCAAAAGAGTTTGTTTTCTGGGAAATGGGTATTTCTGTGACAGCCTCATCCACCGTGGTGGTCATTTTATGAATGGGCAACCCCCAACTTGTCACTCAAAATTCGTAAATCACCCATCAGTTGAAAAGGTTGGGGACCCTTCACCTATTAACATATCTGCCACCAATATCCATCCTAAACTTAGATTGTCTACCCTTTTCCCATACTTGAACCCAACCTACTCCTTATCGCAGGAGTTCCTTTTCCCAGCTATCTCATTCCATTCATCATTATCTTCAAAAACTGTTTAAACTGAAGCCTCCTCTCTTTGCTCAGGATTTGCCCATATAATACTCTTCCTTTATGCCTTCCGTTTCTAGGCTTAAACGGTAAGTCTTTGGATGGGAATGTCCCCCGTTTAATCTATAATAGCTTGGTTCTGGGTACTTAGTGTCTGTCGGGGGGGATTATTATTAAAAGCAAAGCTGACAGAGCTCTTCAAATATAAATTTCGTCTAATTAGCTAGAAGTGGAAGTGGAAAAATGAGGGTGGAGGAGGCACTAACAATTCTGCTGCAATTTAAAAGTAGCAAACACAAGTTCTGTATTCTCAGCAACCTTCAA